TTCATGCCTCCCCCTCCGTCTTTTTCCCGTCTTTGCAGTTTATTAGCTTAATAGACCATGTTGCTTACTTATGTAGTCATCTCCCAGAGTTCAGGTTTTGCTGACTGTCTCTCTGTGCTTCTGTCCTCGATCTGTAAATTGGCACAGGGACCTAGAGGTTTGATTTGGTTCCGATTTGACTTTGCCCTGGTGTGGCCATCTCCTAGATGGCATTGGGGCCTATCAGGAGACCCATAATGGCCGGGTGGTGCTTCTTCATGTCAGCCAACTACAGCTGCTCAGCGGCTAAGGTTTGCAAACTAGGGGCATTCCGTTTACTAATGAGCTAACCACTTCTCAGTAAAGAAACCTGCCTTTATCTGCTTCCCATTGTGGTTTATAGGAAAATGGCCAACGGCTTGACTCTCCTTTCATATAACTGCTTCTAAAGCTATTATATGAGTTGTTTCCTGGTGCCACACAGTGATAATCAATTTTTATGTCTCCATTTTGTGTTTTTAGTGTTCTTATGAGCTCATGGGTTTAAGCCGATCACGTGTGACTCTTTGTACTGCAGTTGTTTTCTTGATGCTCAGACTGTCTCAGCTCGTCAGTAATTTTCTTTTGTTGGGGTTTTTAGCTCTCAGGACTTTTTTGCACTGAGTACAGCACCATACAAAGAGAAAGCCAGCCATCTTGGGATAGAAGATAAAAACATAGGGTTCTGGCATTCAAGGTTCTGAATGTGAAAAATACTTTGCAGCAATTGTTTTTGTTTGTTTGCTCTTTTGAGGAAGGTGGGTCTCCCATATAGCCCAGATTCACCTCAAACTTCACTCTCCCACGTGCTGGGATCTAGGCAGGCACCACCACACTGAGTTCCAAGTTTAAAACACTACCACCACCTCTTAGGTGTGACTGTGCCAGGGAGTGGGTGAGCTAAGGTTAACTCCCCCTGGGCTCATGGTTAGGGACTTGGTGACATCATCCCTGATCACCGCTCCATACCACTCAAACTCTCTCTGTAGGAGGTGTTGGAATTGGCCTTCTCCATCCTGTATGATCCCGACGAGACACTGAATTTCATCGCTCCTAATAAGTATGAGGTAAGCACTGGGCCGCACTACCTTGAACAGCAGTGCCCTAACTGTGGCTGTTAGTCAGAGAGGAGCTGTGGTCAGCACAGCAGTGTCCCCCTAAAAGCAGGTGGGCATAATGGACCACCAAGTCTGTGGGCCTTCTACCTCCGAGTTGGATTCGCCACTTTACTTTGAGGGGAGTGGTTTTGTTTATTTGTGTGTGTGTGTGTGTGTGTGTGTGTGTGTGACGTGTAGACCAGACTGGCCTTGAACTCACATAGATCCTGGGATTAAAGGCCTGCACCACCACACCAGCCTTTCACCTGACTCCTTAGGAGCAGCTGGCAATTATTAGACAGTTAGGCATGGCGTGGGCATGGTTTTCCTCTGTGTGATCTTGCAGTCACATCTTCCCAGATGAGTTGAACCCCAGTTACATGCAGTAGATGCAATTAGACTGTGGAGCTAGATGGATCTGCACCCCCAACAAGGGACCCCAGTTCACCAGTAGCCAGGACGAAGCTAGTGCCCAATTCAGTTAACTCATTGTTAACTGGGGGCCTGCCGTTGAGCACTTGGTGTCGGGCTACAGGAGGAGCAGGCACTGGGGCCAGTAGGGCTGTGTTGGGATGGCAGAGCCCGTGCACAAGGCACGGACTAAGGAGAACAGCATCAGAGGGCTGACAGAGCAGACCCTCTGCTGTACCATTGCATTCTGGGAAGAAGCTAGCCTTGAACCCTTGGTCCTCCTGCCTTTATCTCCCAAGTGCTTGGATGTTATAAGCATGTTCCATCATGAAAGCTATGCCAATTTCTTTTGTACTTCCCTTAAAAATATTTTTTAACATAATTGACTTTTTAAAAAAAAAAAACAAATAGCACTGCTGAGTCCCTGTCTGCTTCCTTCTCTTTTGAGTGTGTGTTTTCTGCTCCTGTTTCATCCCACTGCTCCAGTACTGGTTCCATCTTTTTGTATTCCTTATTTAAAGTTTTCACACAAATCCCACCTAAAATCCTATCAGTTGATAGTGACAGCCATCTCCTATCTGCCCTTGCCCTCGTCTCCTATGAGCTTTGCATATTCCAAATGGTCCCAACCAGCACTGCCGTGAGTCTCACTGCAGCCCTTGGGACCACGGTGTGACATTTGCAACTTGCCCACAGTACTGCATCTGGATTGATGGACTCAGCGCCCTCCTGGGGAAGGACATGTCCAGTGAGCTAACCAAGAGCGACCTGGACACACTGCTGAGCATGGAGATGAAGCTGCGTCTTCTGGACTTGGAGAACATCCAGATCCCCGAGGCACCACCACCGGTCCCCAAGGAGCCCAGCAGTTATGATTTCGTCTATCACTATGGATGAGCAGGAAGGGACTGGGGCCCAGGAGAGACACTGGCAGACTGTGCCTTGCCTCTACTTGTACAGACTCTGGAGTGGTCATAGTGACTACCCCTCAAACTCAATGGGACCCAGGACTTCTCTTGGACCCCATTCTCTAGGAGTCATGAAGTCAGGGCCTGCCGCCCTCCTCAGCACCACAGAGCCTGGGGTTGGGCTTGGAGGAGTGAACTCAAGATGCTCTTTCCTCCTACCCTGAGTCTGGAATTGGACTTACCAACAGCCATCCCATCCCGAGCCTACTCTCTGGTTTTCTGGAGAACTCATGTGGGCTGGAGCTGGCCCAGGAAAGGCTGCCCATGGAGACTGGAGGACTGGGATGGTGTGAGCCTTGGAGTGACTGTCTTCGGTGGCTCAGGCAAAAATAGGCCTAGTGCTTCTGCTTACTAGGTCTCTGAGGGCTCATTCCAGCCTCATCCTGTGCCAAGATGCTGCAGCCTCAAGGTTGGCCCTTATTTATCTGTCTCTAGGAGTATCCATCTCTCTTGCCCACACAGGTAGCAGTCTCTTCCCCCAAGCACTCGGTCTCGTGCTGGCCAGGCAGATGCCTCCAGCCTGAGTCCTGCTCCCTTAGGCTCCAGGAATACTCCAGGAAAAGGGAGGTTGAGGCCTCCTAGCTCTCTCCCTCCATTTCTATCTTTTCCTTCCTGAGGAAGAATGTTCCCATGCTCCCTAGTTGCAGGCCCTTCTGTTTGCTTCCCTCTTGCTCCCAGACTTGGGGCAGTTTGCCTTCCCTTTCTTTCCTTTCTGGCACTGTGGTTTAGCCATTAGCCATGATTTCAAGAAGCAGCTAGGGCCACAGCTGTGCCATGGGCCTTCTCTGGTGCTGCAGCACTTGAAGCACACGCACAGCCTCTCCTTGGACGCATGTTAACATGATGGTATTCAGTACTGGTAGCCTGGCATGGTGGTACTGCCCAACCAAGAGTGTACTATATATTTTCTTTACTATAGGCCATACTTATACAGACGTGTATATATATTTATATAAGACCATCCTATCCTAGGACAGAATGTTGAAGGGAAGATGAAACTGAGCATAAAAAAGGATGCTCTGGGTCATGAGCTAAGCGTGTAACCAGAGAGCAGCCAGCTTCCTGTCAGTGACCGTGTTTTCAATAAATACTCTTTCATGGAGACTGGTTCCTATAAACACCGGCTCCTCTGCACTTGCTCCCTGTCACAAGGGTAGGGAGGCACCTGACAGCCTTCATTCCATTTTCCTGGGAGCACTCCCAGCCTCCTTCCTGGAGCCATCCTCTCCCCTCCTCGTCTATCCTGCTGTGTCATGCACAGACTACTCATACCTGCTGGCTAAGCATGCTCACAGATTGTGGTACCAGGACAGAGTGTTTCCTGCTCAGCCCTGCTGGGTACAGCGTGGAAAGACGTACCGTACTCCCCCAAGTTTCCATCCTCCCTCTCTTCCCTGCCAGGGACACAGCCAGGGAACAGCTCGAGTACTTGTGCCTTTCAAAGAAGACATTTTCCACACCTCGTGTGCTGCCTGGACTTGGTGCCCAGCCTTCCAGCTGGTGTTTTAAGCTGTTGCTCCCATCAGCAGCCTTGGTAGCTGGGAGGCTTGAATGAGGGCAGTGATGAAAATAGATACTTCCTCTTGCCACTGTTAGAAGGGGGTGAGGACAGGCGCTTTCAGAGGGCATAGAAAGTGCATGCAACACAGGCCTTGAGGGCTGAATGAAGCCAAGACCTTGGGCTGCGATGGGTACCATTGTAGGTCTTAGGAAGCATTGACTGAACTAATGCTTGCGTGATGCCAGCTGGCAGCAGCCTGCAGCAGCACTGTACACAAAGCACAGCTTACACTCTGGCCTTGAGCCTTCCGCTAGGAACCAGAAACCCAGCCAAGTCATGTGCAAGGATCTGTTTGCAGTCAGTCTTAGTACAGAGCCCAGAAGGGCAAAAGCAGAGAACCGGGCCAGCTTGGGTCTGCAGCCCTAGCTCGCATGGCTTACGAGGTTCTCTTGCCCACATGCCCTGTGCTTAAAATTAATCGAATCTGGGTGTGCACAATTGGCATTCTGAAGCCACTGCAACCTGCTTTCTTGGGCTCTCAGTAAAAACACACCCTTCCCATCCCTTCCTTTCAGCTTTCGTTTCCTCTGGGATGATCTTCACCCACTCAACCTATTGAATAATTCTCACAAATGTATTAAGTATATGTAATTTCACAAGTGTCCATTATTACTTTGCCCAGACTGTCTACATTTCTAAAATTTAATGGTCCTCACATCATTTCCTGATGCTTAAGGCCCCAGAAAAAAAGCACATGAAAGAGTTATTAGTACATGTAATTCGTTCCCACATGCCAGTTTTGGGAAAGAGACGGAGGTTATAAAGCCTGCTGTGGCCGGCTTGGCTAGAGAAAGATGCTCTGGCTCCACCCACCCTCACCGGCTTCCGGCGGAAGTCTCGCCTACAGCGGCCCAGTGCCCAGCTCGCGCTTCCGGCAGGAGTCTCGGGGCGAGCGCCTGGGTGGAGGAGGTAAGTGGGCGTGCGGTGGGCGGTCCCCTGCGTTCCCGCCCAGCCCGGGCCTCAGTTTCCCCTGGCCTCTCAGTGGCCCTGGGCCCATTCGCCGGGCATTTACCAAGCACTTACGAGGGGCCGAGTCTTGAGGGGGGGAACCAGATGGACGCTGCCGGGCAGGCGCGGCGATGACACGTGAGCAAACACAGACGTAACGCAGGGGGACGTGCCACTCTCGGTGGGGGCTTTGGGGAAGGGGGACAGAAGCAGAGAGCATCGGGTAACCCGGGAGGACACCGGCTGATGTGTTGGCCACACGGCTGAGTGTGCGGTTGCAGGGTTCTGGCAGGCGGGATCCTAGGAAGACCTATGGCCCCAGCCCAGGGTTTTCCAGTCTGTTGGTGCTGTCTGTCTTAGTTTCTCTCCCTGTTGCTGTGCTAGAGCACTCCAACCAAAACAACTTAGAAAGGAAGGGGAAGGGCGTGGTTTTCCACACAGTCTGTGTGCAACATCGTGGGGAAGTCAGGGCAGCAAGAGCTTGAAGCAGCCGGTCACGTCGCATCCACAGCCCAGAAGCAGAGAGTCACGAATGTGTGCTGGTGTCCCATTCCTCTCCATGCATTCTGGGAGACCCTGCCCACAGTTAACCTGATCTAGAGACTCTCTCACTGGTGTGCTCCAAGGCCCGTCTCCCAGGTGATTGTAGACTGTGTCAAGTTGACAACTCAAGTTCTGAAGTGCAGGCAGTAGGTGAAAGGTAACTGTGACTTAGACCGCGGGTAGAGAAGGGAAGAGAAGTGGGTGGGTCAACACATAACTAGAGGTGGACTTGCCAGGGCAGGATAAGAATGCAGAGGGGTGACTGCCTGTGGCCAAAGCCAACAGTCCTTAGGATGACTTTCTGAGTGACTTCAGAGTGGGACGGAGACCCGAGGAATATTAGGGTAGCTCCCCGGGGCACCTTGAGTTGAGCTGTCAACTGGAGCTTCCTAAATGGCAGTTAGTTTCCTCTGTCCTCACAGGAAGTTTAAGGTGGTCTTGGTGGGATGGGGACGAAGGCAGAAAAGCTGGGTTCCACCCCTCAGGGACCAGTTCTGATCAGCTGAGTTGGAGAGAAGGCACTGGCCAAGCAGCAGTCCGGAAAGCAGAAGACTTCAGGGACTGCTGCAAGTTACACCCCATAGGTCTCTGAGGAGGAAGTGGTCAGTTTCGCCAGGGAGCCTCAGAAACACAGCCAGACAGACTGACTGGAAAGCTGTGCTGTAAGAGTTGACAGTGGGTCAGTGTCAAGTGCTGCTTCTCATGCTAGTGACACCCTTGCCCCAAAAGCACATGGTCAGAGCATCTGAGTCCTCTCAGGCCAGGTGCTGTGATCTCAGCAGGGGGTGGACGCAGAGGGCTCTGCTCACAGGGCTTTGATGTTCCAGCCTGTGCTTTGAAGCACTAGGCTTCACCATCCGGGCTACAGCTGAGGTGGTAGAGGGCGGCCAGGTGCCGCAGCGTTGCTCCACCCTGCTCTGAGTTAGCTGCTGTTTCTCGGGAACAGGGAGACTGAATCCATTGCTTGGGCAGACGTGATCACAAGTCTGCTCTCACTGCAGAGTGAGGGTGAGGGCCGCAGCGGTTTCACGTCTGTGTGTCTGGTGTGAGGCCAAGCACTGCTTCGTGATGGCACGTGGAGCGAGGGGCCGTGTGCTTCCCGGGGCTTTCCAACTGGCGCTTGGCTTTGTGTTTGGGGCTAGTGACTTTCTGCATGGTCACCTAGAGGTGGGGAGCTAGACGAGCTCTCCGAAGGAAAGGCAGGCTGAATAGTGGACAGAGAGCACCGTAGTGACCAGGTAGGAAGTCATCGGAAGGTGGCGGGCCAGTAAATTGATAAAAAAGGGAACAGGCTGTCCTGGCGTGTAGCATGCTCTGCCTGGGAGGGGAAGCCGTGGTTCAGAGGGAGCGGTGTTTTTCCTGCAGTGTTGGAGACTCAGCCCAGGCCCTCCACATGCTCGGCCAGCACTGCAAGGTAACTAACTTCTGGACCCAGTATGGTTGTTACAGTGTGGAGTTGGGGGCATAGTACCCCTGGCATCCCGTGAGTAGAGACAGGGATTTGATAATGGATTGCAGTACACAGGACTGACTTCCCCCAGGCCACAGAGCGCTGGCATTGAGGGAATGTGGACCTTGAGGTCTGTTCGAAGTTGGTTTGAGCCTGTGTCCCCAACTGTCCAGCAGTGTAAACAGGACCCTGTGATTAATGGCCCAGGTGAACAGGTCTAGTCAGTGGTTGGATCTGCCTCTAGGGCCCTTGGGGACCAGAGCAGGCTGCATGCTGGGGAGATGTTAGCCTGCAGAAAGGATGTCAAGATGCAGGGCTGCCTTAGGCCAGTAGGGCAGTGCCTCTCCCTTGGACCCACCATGTCTTTCGATCTTAAACTGTTCATTAACCCGAAAACCAGTGGTGTCCTAACCGTAGGTGAAGGGAAGGTAATTAATGTTCTGACAGAGGTGCTGGAGTCACATGAGGTCACTGGTGTTCCTCTTGCTATAGAATACCTGGGAATGAGCCCACCATAAGGCTAAGCTCACAGCAACCATGATAGTAGCCCCAGAGATGTGAGCTGTTGTCAGCAAAGAAGTTTTCCAGAATGGGGACTCTTGGTTCCACTTTGACAGCATGCAATCTCATATGGTAGAGCCCTGGAAAACCATGTTTACAGAAATCAGAAGTGAGCCCTCTGTGTGACTGTCAGAGATGTTCAGAATACAGAACGGTGCTGAGCTCCTTGGGCAGGGCCTTTGCAGTCCCTACTCACCGAATGCCAGGAGCTTCCTCCAGGTTCCAAACTCCTCAGAGATAACCACAGTCCAGGAGTCCTTTTGGCAGAGCCCAGAGCCAGCCTAGTTTGCCTCAGGAGGGAATGTGATAACAGGTTCCAGAGTGCAGAGTGGACTGACCAGACTGGAAGGAGGGAAGTCAGATCCCACGATGCTGGAAGGCTTCCAGGGGAGCTGGCATTTCAGCACGATGAGGAGGAAACAGCTGTAGTATGCCCAACAATGGGCCAGTGCTCCCCAGTGTCCCCTGAGCCAGGCTTGCCCTGGGCACTCATGGTGTTGCTAGGCTGATTGACAAGTGGTAATTTGGTTTGGTGGGCACCTGCCAAAGAGTAGCTCTTGGAGACCAGGGCAAGGGATGCCTGGGTCACTTTAGCTCCTCAAGACCTGATGAGTCCCCTGAAATCCCATACACACACACTGTCATGGGGCCATCAGACCAAAGGAGAATATAGAGAGTGCCAGGTATGTGTGAGACCCTTGTGGAGTGCAACCTGACGAGGGACAGCAGCATTACTCGGGGGTGGGGGTGTGGCTCAGTGGTAGCCTGGCTCCTAGCGCGAGACTCTGGGTTCTGTCTACAGCACTAAAAAGAAAAAAAAGTCTTCTCAAATCACACCCCTCTCAGTTGCTACAAGAGAAAAGTAGGAGAGCAATGGTGGCTCATAGACAGGTCCCTGAGGAAGAGGATTTGTACTGAGGAAGGATGGAAGGGTGGTCATCCCCTCTGTGCCGGGACAGACTGGCAGAGACAGTCTAGACCAGATTAGACTCAGAACTGCAGGCGGACTCTGGCCTTTGTGAAGGTACCTGGGCGCTGCTGGAGGGTTGAGGCAAGGTCCGACAGCACTACACCTACCTGTTGAAAGGTCACTTTTCGTGTGAATGTACACTAGAGCCCTAAGTCCCTGTGCTGGGGTGGGACCCATGGCCTCTGTGGTCACTGTGGCCAGACCCTCCCTCTCTTCTCTCCAGCGGCAGAGCTGGGGACCTGTGACCTCCGTATCCAGCTAGCCATGGAACAGTTTGGCTCTGGCCACCAGCCCCTTAGGTGAGGACTCCGTCTGGGGCCCATTGCACAGCCACACCATGGAGGTGAAGAGGACTCTTCCAGCCAGGGGAACTGTCCTTTGAACACCGTGGTCCAGCTCTGCTGGTTCTTCCTGCTAACCATCTTCAAGCGAGGCTCCTGCTCCTGCTGGCCCACGGATGGGGAGGTGGGCCCTTGATGTCGCCTTTGTGTGGAAGGCGGTGCTGACGCTGGGCCTGGTCCTCCTCTACTACTGCTTCTCCATAGGCATCACCTTCTACAACAAATGGCTGACCAAGGTAACCAGGGCCTCGCCAGCACAGGGTCTGGCCTGCAGGTGGCTGGAGTTGGTACAGTTGTATTGGGTCATGGTGGCTTTTCCTGGACATTGGCCTTGAGAGGGCTAAGCAGGTGACCAGCAGGTTGTGATGAAACTGGGTAGGAATGAACCCCTGGGCTGCCTCCTCTCTGTGTGACCTACACAGTGGGGACTAACCCTTGTTCCAAGGGGTCACTGTGTGGCTGAGTCCCTGGGTTGGCCCCTGGCACCAGAGGAGGGAGGAGACCCTGGGTTGACCCTTACCACCAGAGGGAGGAGATAGAGGGGCGAGCCACATCTCTCCACTCCTGCCCTCTGCTTTGGCCCCACAGAGCTTCCACTTTCCCCTCTTCATGACCATGCTGCATCTGGCCGTGATCTTCCTCTTCTCAGCCCTGTCCAGGGCGCTGGTTCAGTGCTCCAGCCACAGGGCCCGAGTGGTGCTCAGCTGGACTGACTACCTCAGAAGAGTGGCCCCCACAGGTAGGTCCAGCCTGAGGACGGCTGCTGGAGAGCCTAGGCCGGAAATCAGAGGAGCCCTCGCTCCCTACCTGTCGCCCGCTCTCCCCCCCACCCCTGCCCCGCTTCTTCCTCACCTGTCTCCTACTGTTGCTTCTCATCAAAGCAGGCAGCATCCCTGTCCTTGCTGGCTTACGTGGGCTTCAGTGGGTTCCACCAAGTGCAAAACAGGAGCCTTACTGGGTGACCATGCTAGGTCGTGCTAAAAGATTTCCAAGGTCTTGAGTGACAAGGCCTGAAAGGTGGATGGGTACCTCTGGCCCTGGGAGTGTGAAGTCAGAAGGGAGAGCCCTGCTGGTAGGAGGAGCAGAAGTTGGCAGGCTGGGCTAGTTGTGGATGGCCAGGTGCTCTGGGAGCAGCTTGACAGGATCAGGTTAATACTCTTGTCTGGAGCTGTTCAAATTACTAAATAAAGGAGACTGACAGGCCTAGCCAATCAGGATGGACTCACAAAGGAGACTGATGGGCCTAGCCAATCAGGATAGACTCACAAAGGAGACTGATGGGCCTAGCCAATCAGGATGGACTCAAAGGAGACTGATGGGCCTAGCCAATCAGGATGAACTCAAGAAGGAAATTGATGGGCCTAGTCAATCAGGATGGACTCACAAAGGAGTTTGATAGACCTAGCCAATCAGGATGGACTCTTGGCCAAGTGTTAACCTGGAGTTGCTTGGAAAGGAGGGGCAAGCAGGGTCTCAGGTGCCTCAGCCACATGCTTGCCGACTGGCTTCTCTGACCGGGTGTCCTCTGTCCCCATAGCACTGGCAACAGCACTTGATGTGGGCTTGTCTAACTGGAGCTTTCTCTACATCACCGTATCACTGTGAGTACTGGCCACACCCTCCGCCCCCCATACAGGCCAAGCTCTCTTGCTCTGTCCAGCAGGCAGTCTGTGTAGCCAGCAGTGGGCCAATTACTCCATCAGTCTCTGGGACCATCCCTTGCTCTCCCTCCGCTCCTTACTGGCACCCAGCAGTACTCCAAGAAGTCTCCAGCTCCTCCTTAAGCCCAGTGCGGAGAGAGATGCTGCACCTGCCCGCCAGGCAGCAAGGAGAAGCCAGGGCACTGGACGGTACAGCTACAATTGCTTGTTGGGGGAGCAGTCAGCAGAGTAAAGAACCAGGCAGTGGAGCATTGCCATCAGCCAGCTGGTCACCAGTCACAGCTCTGATGTCTTGCTTTAGAGAAGGCAGTCCCTCAGGTCTCTGTCCAGGTTTCTCTAATCTTCCTTACCTAGTCTCTGCCAACAGCCAGGTAGAGAACAGAACTTGGTAAACTTAACGTCAGACCCACTACTCCTCCCCATTGACTGTGAGGCCCCTAGGAGGCTTCTCTTAAAAGCTCATATATCAGCACAGATCTCACTGGCTTCCTGCTTTTACTCTTTGGGTCTGCAGCCGTGTATTTGTGGGTGTCTCTGCTCCAGGTACACAATGACCAAATCGTCCGCCGTGCTCTTCATCCTGATCTTCTCTCTGATCTTCAAGCTGGAGGAACTGGTGAGGCCCCACTTCCCTTTCCCTTCCTGTCATTGCATATGTGGAGACCACTGGCCCGGGTCTCTTAAAATGTCTTTCTTGGGGAGGGGACCTAGATAGAAGGTGTAGAAGAAGCAAGTGCAGGAGGGCCAGCATTCCCTGAGGCCTTGGGTTCCCATGAAGAAATTTGGTACTCATTGGGCACACTTGGAGCCTGGAATGGGCACCAGAACTTTGAGTACGATGTTAGAAACATGCCAGCTGTGTGTCAGCCGTGTCTGCCAGTGGAACCTCTGGAAGAGATGGGGCGTGGAATGGCTGGCTCCTGATCCCCAGCCCCAAATGTGGCACATGCTTGAGGCTGAAGCTCCCTGTGAGCTGCACTGTTCCCTCCTAGTGTGTGGCTTGAACCCCAAGCTCCCTGTGAGCTGCACTGTTCCCTTCCTAGCATGTGGCTTGAACCCCAAGCTCCCTGTGAGCTGCGCTGTTCCCTTCCTAGCATGTGGCTTGAACCCCAAGCTCCCTGTGAGCTGCACTGTTCCCTTCCTAGCATGTGGCTTGAACCCCAAGCTCCCTGTGAGCTGCGCTGTTCCCTTCCTAGCATGTGGCTTGAACCCCAAGCTCCCAGTGAGCTGCACTGTTCCCTTCCTAGCATGTGGCTTGAACCCCAAGCTCCCTGTGAGCTGCACTGTTCCCTTCCTAGCATGTGGCTTGAACCCCAAGCTCCCTGTGAGCTGCACTGTTCCCTTCCTAGCGTGTGGCTTGAACCCCAAGCTCCCTGTGAGCTGCACTGTTCCCTTCCTAGCATGTGGCTTAAACCCCAAGCTCCCAGTGAACTGTACTGTTCCCTTCCTAGCATGTGGCTTGAACCCCAAGCTCCCAGTAAACTGTACTGTTCCTCTCCTAGCGTGCAGCCCTGGTCCTAGTGGTCCTTCTCATCGCTGGGGGCCTCTTCATGTTTACCTATAAGTCCACACAGTTCAACGTGGAGGGCTTTGCCTTGGTGCTGGGGGCTTCATTCATCGGCGGCATCCGCTGGACCCTTACACAAATACTTCTGCAGAAAGCTGAACTGGGTGAGCCCATGGGGAAGGTTGGGAGTCGGGCAGACAGGCCAACAGGCCAGGTGTGACAACTTCCCATGTCCTGTTCTGCAGGCCTTCAGAATCCCATTGACACCATGTTCCACCTGCAGCCACTCATGTTCCTGGGACTCTTCCCTCTCTTTGCCATATTTGAAGGTACACTCTGTTTTCTACCTCTGAGCACCGTAGTACAGCAGATCCCACATTACTGCTCTGAGCTCAGCACAGTGCTAGCCACAGGGGTTGCCCAGATCTAAAACTCAGTCCCTCCCCAGACTCCATGGTTTGGGACTGGACAGACACACAGAGAATGACTACACTCTCGTGACAAGGGTACAAAAAAATGATGTGTGGAGTACAAGGAGTCAGTGCAGACAGTGCGGACAGCTCCAGATTTTCATTGCCCCTATAACCAGATGTGGAGGACTATTTTCATCCCTATGTGGCAGGAGAAAGAAACTGAGGGAATGAGAAAGGTGAAAGCTTGCCCAAAGCTCCAAAGCTCATCAGCAAGCCAAACTTGGTGCTCAACAACCTGGCATTGGGAGGCTAGGCCCTCTGTCACGTGGAGTGCATGCCTCCCAGGGAGCAGAGTCAGGGTCTGCCCCAGGTGGGATGCTTGGGTCGGAAGGGGGGATGGTAGAAAATGAGTCGTGGATGTCTGGATTGATGACACCAGGACACCCTGGGAAGCAGGGGCAGGAGGCTCTGCTTTGTGTGCTCAGGGAACACGGGCAGAGTGGCAGCTTCCGCGGCTGGGGTTGGGAGACAGCCTGGGTACACGGACAATTGTTCTATCTCCTGTGGCTTCCAGAGAAGAGACAGGCCAGGGGGTTGTACAAGGTGGGCAGGATGTTGCCACCTTCCTTTCTTCAGGGCTTTGGGATTAGTCTTGTTTACCCTCCTTCTCAGAGTCCCAGCTGTCCTCAGGGTCATTACCAAAAATTCCAGCCCACATCCATTTACGTTTCAAGCAGCTAAGCGTCTCCAGCCTCCCTGAGAAAATGATTCTGCAGCCTCGTTGTCCAGGAAACTTGTGTGTGGAGCCTCGTGCTCTTCCTTTTTAAAGACTCTCCCCATTCCTTCATTACGCCCCTTGTAGCAAACACACTCACCCCCTCCCCAGGCGTCCTCACTGTTTCCCCCGCTCTGCAAACCTCATCCAAAAGCCCCTGGTCGCCGCCACTTAGCAAAGCTGCATGGATTTAGCTTCTTTAATCTTCTCTGGTAAATTAATCCCCCAAGCGCCTTCATTACTTATGTTGCTCTTACCCGAATTCTCTTCAATTTGCCACTGCCTTTGCAGTGCTGCTGAGCCCTGCACCAAAACAAGACCGCCCGCGTGCCAGGCTACTGGCCTGGGGTACACTGTTGTCACAGCTCTGAGCCCCCTCCCCCTCCTGACCCCCAAAGTTCTTGTCCCCCTTCAGCTCCCATCAGTGTCTACTGTGCCCAGTGGATTCTGACCTCACCCCTCTAACACACCATGGGGACCTTCTGTGGAAAGAGCCCAGGACCTCTTTAGGGAGGGGCCGCAGCTCCCAAAAATGAAGCAAGGATTGACACGTTGTACAGTGTGCTCTGGAGCGAGGGGCTGTAGGTTTGTCATGAAATTACATGTGTGTGGTTTGGTTTGGTTTGGTGTGGGATGTGTCTTATGTAGGTCAGGCTGCGCTTCCTATATTGCTGACAGCTGAGGTCACAAGTGTGCGCCACCACACTCTGCTTTGGTCTTTTTTTGTTTTTTGAGGTTTGTTTTGTTTTTGTGTTTTGAGGTCTGTTCATTAGATTATACTGCTCGTTGGAGAGATGACAGTCTAGTTGCAGCCCCATCATTCTCTCAGTAGGGAAACCGGTAGCCAAAAAGGAGGCATCTCACCACCCAAATCCATCTGCAGCTTTGTAGTGGCAAAGCCCAGATTTGAGCTGGGCTATATAGCTCAGTGATAGTATATGCCTAGCATATGTGTGTGTGTGTGTGTGTGTGTGTGTGTGTGTGTCTGTGTGTGTGTCTGTGTGTGTGTGCACATATATGTTCACATACACACAATCTAAAGGTGAGGAGCCCTGCATCCATACATTTTGTGCCCCTGTACAATCAGCCTCTACCCACAGGTTCACTTCCTCCTTGTTCTGTTAATGGGATCTGTAGTGCCACCATGGTCCCTGAGTCTCAGGTCATCTGCATGGGACTGTTTTCACACACCCCATCCTGTCTCCTGCCTCAGACAATCGTCACACCAGGCCCTGGCCTCCCACTCTCTCCCTGTGGCTTTCAGGTCTCCATTTGTCCACCTCAGAGAAGATCTTCCGCTTCCAGGACACAGGGCTGCTCCTGTGGGTTCTTGGGAGCCTCCTCCTTGGCGGGATTCTGGCCTTCGGTTTAGGCTTCTCCGAGTTCCTCCTGGTCTCCAGAACATCCAGCCTCACTCTCTCCATCGCTGGCATTTTTAAGGTACATACTGGGAAGTAACCCTAGGCCTGGGTGTGCCTGCGTTGTACTTCACTGGCAGCTTGGCTCCCATGGCAGAGGCCTGGAGCCCTCATCTATGTTGATCAGTGAAAAGTCCCAGCTTTGAGAGCTGGGCACATGAGTCAGGTCTGTGGAGGAGCTTCCCTCTAGACAGGTAGACCTCGTGCTGGAGTAGTAATACCCAAAGCAAACATTCGGTGTAAGGGTCCTCTGGCTATGATGAGGAGAGCCCTGTCCATTTATGGGTGCCTGGCAATGGCAGACTCCCTCCTGTGGGGCACCTGAGTCGTCGTCTGGGGCCCGAATGGCTTTCTGCTTTTGCTGGGAGTCTGTGGGGAGCACATGTGCACCTGCATCTCGGTGACACCGGGAAGCCTGCAGGCTGGTGATCCTGGCATAGAGGTCCCCCACTTCTGCCTCAAGGGTCAGCCTGTCATACCAGCTTCTGACCCCATGTCCTGCCTCTGCCACAGGAAGTCTGCACCCTGCTGCTGGCGGCTCACCTGCTGGGTGATCAGATCAGTCTCCTAAACTGGCTGGGCTTCGCACTCTGCCTCTCCGGCATCTCCCTGCATGTGGCCCTCAAGGCCCTGCATTCTAGAGGTACGGTGGCCTCCTCCCCATGGCTTAGTATTATTGACTGTCCCGTCTACCATCCAGCTACCTCTTACCAATGGTTGCTGTAGCTTGGGACATGTGCCAGATGGCACTGCCACCCCAGGAGGATAGAGGTCATCTCCAGAGGTTACTAGGTCAGTAACCGGTGTGTCTACCCCAAGGTGATGATGGCCCTAAGCTCCCGAAGGGCCCGGACCCCAGCACTGACCTGGAGCTGCTGCTCTGGAGCAGCCAGCAGGAAGAAGATGACGAGGAGTATTTTGTGACCCAGGGGCAGCAGTGACCAGTCCAGGAGCATGGAAGCAAGCCACTCTGCTGACCACTCTGCTGACCACTCTTGGTGGGGCCCAGGGGCCCAGCTGCTTCCTCAGCGCAACTACAGGTGGTGGCCTTAGAGTCACCTGTAGGACCCTGGCGGGGGGTGGGGGTGGCTCCTGCTCTTTCCTGGGGAGTGTGGTCCAAAAAGTGGATGCCAGGCTCACCCAAGACCTGGCAGTGAAGGGGGCCAGTAACCTCTTCTCCACTGTTGCTCTGGCTCAGAGAGCCAAGATGAAGTTCAGGTATGTAGTTTCTCGGGTTGCTGGGTTTGGACTGCAGGGCATGGCATCTGGGAAGGAGCCATGGAGAGGCTGGGCCTCATCACCTGGACAGCCGCTTCCTCAGAGAGTGGATTTATTTATAGTTGAAATAATGATTTCCTTCTCCACTGCCCAATGTTGCCTGAGGCATGAGAGCAAGGAGAACCCTGGGGCCTGGCCTCTCCTTCCCCTGCCCGGGGCCTTTTCCTCTGCCCTGCCCTGCCCTCTGTAGCTCCTGCTCCTCTTTCTGCCCAGACCGCATCCTTGGGGCCATACTACAGACCCACCACCAGAAATAAACGAGTATTTGCTCAGTACCATCGTCTGGAGACTGCCAGAGTCACAGCCTAGGTTTGCATTCTCTCTCTGCCATGCCCTACCCATTGTGCGACTTTAAGTGGATGACTTAGTTTCTCTGTGCTGTAGATTGTCTGTTTTTTAAGAAGAAAAGGAAAGAAGATCATGTCTATCCCAGGCTTTCTGGAGAATGTCACATATTAAATATTATGTATGTATTCTTTAAATATTGTCAAGAACCGAGAGACCATGGCCTAAAAAAGAATTTACCGAGCTGCTGGGTGAGGATTCAAGGCTGCTTGCTATGTGCTATGTGTGAGGAGGGACTCAGTTCCAGAATGTGGGCCAAGTTGTGCACTTGTCTAGACCACAGTCCCATGGGAGGCAGCAGGGCCATGCTGTGGGGCTGAGCCCTCTCGTAGCTTGGCGCCTGGTGGTTGCGCCCTCCTCAGAGAGCTGGTCCCCTCTGCTTTGGCAGGGGAGCTGCCGACCAGGCTCTCCTATAGAAGTGCTTCAGGCACTCACGGCAGGTGGCGCCATTGGCTCACAGTTTGGCTCCAGCCCTGCCTGCTACCACCCCTGCCCAAACCCTGGCAGCAGAGGGTGCCTGACAGCAGTGGCATCTGTGTAAGTTTGGGCAAAGACCCAGAAGGGGCTCTGTGTAGAGCTGGAGCGAGTGGATCTCCACTGGTGCCCAGAACGCACGGACCACAGACTTCTGGAAGGGACAGATAGTAAATATTTCCATTGAGGACCATATGGTGTATGTTGCAACTTGAAGCAGGAAAGAAGCCTTGCATGGCACAGACACAAAGGGGTGGGGCTACAACCCAATAAAATCTGGTTTCCGAAAGTGAGTTCTTGCCCACCTCCTGCTGGAGAGGGATCCCTGGGAATTGAGAGTCTGGCAAGGAGACTGAGGCCCAGAAGCAACCATGACTGCCTGCAGCCAAGGAGCTGGAACTGTAATTGGTGTCGAGTCCCTGGCACCCTCCGCTCTCTAGAACACTACCTTATCTGGCTCCTCTGCCTTGGGCTCTGCAAGCTTGGAGGTCAGAATCACACAATGCTCTTGTTCCAGCCCAGTGATGTGGGAAGAAGCAGTGGGGGTAGGGGGAGAGGGTGGGGGGCTGAACTGGGGAGGCTGCCTGCGAGGGAGAGGGCTGTGCAGCCCAGCCTGCTGCCTCAGGTGGATGAGAGCTTCCTGTCTACTCTGCACCACCCCCCTCTCCAGGACACAAGCTGGCACTGCTGTCTGGTGCAGTAATTACAGGGTGTGGAGTGGGTCCTCACCACTCACATGTTGGGTTCAATGACAGCCCCTCACTTAGCAGCAATTACCAGCCAGGCCTAGAGGAGGCCTCCTTCCCTCCTCCCCCACCCAGCCCGTCCAGCTGCCTGGCCTCCTGGTCTAGACTGTCCACCCTCAGCCCTGAGACCTCCAACCACCCATGCTGTCTGCAACCACTGCATCTTGGGGGCTGCAGCGTCACCATGGTAACTCAGCGTTTGCCCAGGTTGAAGGAAGCTGAGGATGTGACTGGTCTCTGAGGCTGTACTGTTTGTCCCCAGCTCCAGGGCTGCTACAGCAGCAGAAAGGGGAGGACTGACCTAGGTCTGAGCTTTAAGTCCTTACATGCCCACCACCTCTCCCAGGAGCCCACAGTGGGAGGAAGGTTAATGACCCTAATATACTAGGACACTGTGGTTGGTGTGTGGACAAGAACAAGCCAGAGGTTTGCTGAGAGCCTGGTATATCTGCAATTCCATTCTGGTACCCTCCCTACCTTAGGGACTCAGGAGCATCCCCCATCCATTTCTTCCTGTGTTAGAAAAAAAAACCAGTGACCTAAGAGAAGTTGCCTGGCACCAGGCAAATTTGCCCCATGGTACCTGCAAGCATCTTAGGTATCGTGAATTGGTGTAGACCTAAGGGCGGAGTTTCCTGGATCATCCTTCAGGGTGAGCCATCCAGGGAGTGTTGGCCTACTGCTGGGCTTGAAGACAGGGTCATTGTCCTTCCAGCCCAGGAAAAGAGCGGAGTGGGGAGGACAGACAGAAGGGCCATTCCCTGACCCTTTATTTGGGTTATTTAATTCCAAGTGGCCCAGTACAGCTAGAATTTGTGGGCCCTTTTCATCCTGGCTGTGGATATAAATCTCACAGAAGCCAAGGGTCTAGAAGTCATCTGTTTCCCTCTGCCCCACTGGGCTGGGTGACCTTGGGCATGTTGCTCCTCATTGTGCTTGTGTCTTTGCCCATAAATGGAATAACCCTATGTCCCGAGCAACTGTAAAGATAAGGGATGTATGGAAATCCACTGGCCATGTTGAACACAGCTGTTAGCTCTCTCTATCCAGATTTCCAATGTCACAACCTACCTAGGTGACAAGGGAGAGGAGCAACCAGCACCAGAGCCCCAACACACACAGGAACCTCTTAATGGGTGTTTGCTTCATGGAAGAATTTCCAGTCGTGGGGAGATGGCTCTGTAAGCAACAGCGACGACAGGAAAATGCTCCTCGCCAATCCCTAGACTTGAGTGGATCCAGGGGCCCCTGCACAGTAGGAGGAGACAACCAGCTTCCTCAGATTGCCCTCTGACTGCCACAGGGTGTTGTGTTGCTCACGTGAGCACCTTTCTAAATGTTATAAAAATATTTTTCAAAATAAAGTGTGCAGGGGTGGTGCTAGTTGTAATTTTGAAATGATTTGTTCAGTAAGACGGGCAGGTTCCCATCCCCCACCAGCAGCAGTGAGTGCCGCCAGTCCAGCCTCTGCCTGCCCCCTGGCCACACAGCCCTGACATCAGCCTGGCCCCTTCCCCCAGCTTCAGAGCAACCAATGAGCTTGACTGCTGTTCCCATGGTTATTTACAGTTTCGTTTCGTTGGCAACCCAGTACATTTCCCTGAAGCAGGCCAGCAACCCCCAGGCCCTGGCATCTGGTGGCAGGGCCATCCCTTTCTCTTAATGCCTGAGAAGAGTTCTCCTGTTGGGGACAAGGGAATCAGAATACATTCAGGAAATGCTTCTGGAGAATCTGCAGGCGCCTGCCTGGTGTGAGCCATGGAGATCGTGAAAGTCATTAAAACATCCACCTGCCCTCACCGAACCCAGTGTCCCCTCTGAGAAGCCCATTGAGAGCCATGGAAGTCAACTAGAAAGTGGCCCTGGGGGAGAGAGATGGGTGGGACTTGGCAGTCCTGGTGCCTAGGCACTGGAGCTGAGGGCCCATCAGAGTTACCCTGAGGGATAACTGCCTTTACCTCGGTCCTAGTGGTGGGCTTACCCCAGGAATGAGGCATGACTTCCCATAGGCAGTTTTCTTCAAGACAGTCAATCCCCCACTGTATCATGATGTCGCTGTCCTCAGGACCATTGCCAAGCTCCAGAACCATAAAGAATCTCAGCAGAGTAGAGTAACATCTAGCGTGGATGTGCACACCTTCTTTGTTTTGTTGGTTCTTTTTGTTGTTGTTGGTGGTGGTTGGTTGGTTTTTAGGTATAGTGCTCTTAACTCCTAAAACATTAGGAACTGCTGCTTTTCTGATTTTGGGAAAGCCTGGCTTGTCCAGTGTTCAGTGAATTCAGAGGTATACACTGAAGGCAATGCAGCGACTGGGTAGAGTTGGGTGGATGGATGGATGGTGGATGAACAGTTGAGACGGGTGTGTGGGTGGTGGGTGAATGAGTAGATGAATGGATACGTAGATAAATGGGCAGCCGAGGAAATGGGTAAGTGGCTTGATGGATTAATAGATTGGTGCATGGATGGATGGATGGGTGGGTGGGTGGGTGGATGGATGGATGGGTATGTAGAGATGGATGATAGACTGACAGGTGAATGGGTAGATGACGGGTGAGGGATAATAGACAGTGGTAGGATGGGAGACAGAAAAGGGCATAACCAATTGTCTGAACCCATCTGGGTCAGGAAAGGCATTTTGAGAAAGACTTGGCCTTTTGAATTTAGTCTTCAGGACAACATGGGTGCTCACTGGGACACAGAATAAAAGCAAAGCACACAAAGGCACGGAGGCTGGGTGGGCACCAGGATGGTGCCTGGACTTTGAGGTCAAGTTCACTGTTGCTAGCCAAAAGTGCACAGGAAAGGGGGTGAGGACTGACTGGCTTGCTTCTGAAAAGACCCCAGGAGGCATTCTGACAGGCACTGCCCATCTTGTTCTCAGGAGCAGGTGTCCCCTCTCCCTCACTGTTCCCCGAGCAATGTTCACTAACAGGTCCTGAAGAGCATCCCAAACAAAAACTTTGCCACTTGCCCATCCGTGCCATCCCTGCTGTTAGCCTGCACCCTGGAAATGGTTGTGTCCAGCCCTGTGTCCAGATTAAACAAACAAAAACTGGACTGAGAGGGGTTTGTCTACTGGCCCAAGGTCACTCACCCTGGCCACTCAACAAGAAATCTTTCCTCCCAGAGTCCCGAGCCTTCTTCTTCCCAGCACTCACTGCTACTCTCTGGGAGGGGTGCCAGGCAGTTTTGATTCCCTCCTGCCTATTAGGCCCCTCTGCCCAGGGGCAGCAGTAATGGACCACCACAGGGGGCTGAGGTCTAGCAAGGCAGAGACCCCTGCTGCTATCTTTTGGCCCTGGGAGGAATCCCCCACTGCGCCTTGCCACCGTCCTGTTCCGGGCTGCCCCATGAATTAAACATGCCCCCGTGGTTAACTCAGTAATGCTTTTATTAATAGTTAATTACTCAACGTGCACTGGGGAAATGAGACTCACTCAGGCCTCGTAAATTAAGGCAGTGATCTCGCGCAGGAAACCAATGGGAGTTCATTACCGGGTCCCCTTCTCTCACTGTACCTCTGGGCTTGCCATTTAGCGGCACTAATCGAGACGTGCTGGGTGGCAGGGTGAAGGGACAGGGACTCTCTGCAGGGGCGGTGGTGCTGTAGGATGGCATCTGGGTGTGGAGCAGAACCCACGGAGAGGAGTGAGGTACAAGCTAGGAAACGTTCTGCGCTGAAGCAGCTTGTTCCCTGCCCG